TTGCCTCTGTTTGTGCTGCTCTGCTGCTCCCCCGCTGTCTGCACCCTTGAGCGGACTGCGCAGCCGCGACACTGTCATGGCTTAGCTAACAAATAAACCAAATAATTTGAGTCAGCAACAGATTGAAGGGGTGGATGGGGGCATGGGGGGACAGGGACTTGACTGATTTGAATGTCGAGCCGCGAGAGAGCACGGCCAGCGAACGGCGGAACGATGGAACGGTCGAACGGCATCCATCCCAAATTGAACCAAAAGTTGGATGACCAAGACCGCGACGTCTGAGCGGAGTCTGAACTTGAATCGGAATCGGAATTGGAATTGGAATTGGAATCCAAAGCAAAGCGTTTGTCTACTGCTTGTGCATATCATCGACTCGACATTGAACTCGTTCAATGTCAAAATTATAATAAATTATGCGTGTGTGCTCGGAGATCCAGTGGGGGGCAAACAGCTGAAAAATTGATCAAAAAGCGAGAAACGAACCACCAAAACCAACAATTCACACAACAACAATGGAAAGTGGTGTTTATTGTTTATTACACGGAAATGAAAATTTGTCTCTTTGTTGTTGTTGCTGTTGCTGTTTTTTCTAGTTAATTGCTGTGTTTAGGCCGCGTTTTGCTGGCTGACATTTGTTTCATAGCGGTAAAATGCGCTCAAGGTGCTTCCACTCTCCTCTGGATTTTGATTTCGATTCAGAAAAAATACATATGAGAGATCGTCGGAAATCGTGTGTTCCGCTGCTTGTTTACTCATTTTCACAATTTGCCAAACAATCATATGAACATGAAAATTAATTTCCATTTTTTTTCCCCCCATTTTCGGGAAGTGAAATTTTGTGCTTTTGTTTTCGTTTGCAAGAAACAATTTTCGCTGAAATTAAGTCATAAATTTACTTGGCTTATTGCGTTTCTCTCGCTACCCGTTCAAAATTTTGTTTTCATTCATTTCGATCTGAGGGGGGGAACTTTACTGACTTTTGGGGGATTTCTGGTGAGTCTCAATGGGAAAGCAGACAAGAATTCTGGGAAAGTTCTTCTAAATATTCAGGGTTAATTAGTCATAGAAAGGGACTTTTGCTTATTTAATTAAATGGCTAATTCAGACTAGACTTTTCTTTGGGAAATCTATAAATATATGTAGACCAATATTACCCCACACGTGGCATAGCTGCAGAAATGTGCAATTCTCATAGAATATATTGCCTTAACAGTAGAAAAAGCAATTATATTTATAGAATATATTTCATGGCATTATAGTAAACATTTAATGCATATATTTGACTATATTATAATGACCTATTCTCTATTGGAATTAAAACATTTGAGTATTCTCTAATGCTTGCGCTTAGGGTATCGAAAATACTTACAGATAGTTATGTAATACAATCTTATATTCTTATGGAATAATAAACTCCTTTGAACTCTTTTGTTGCCTAAATGTTTTGTATTTATTCTATGCAATTATCTGCTTGGCATTTTCCCACCGTTGCTTATTATTCCGTCTAAACAGCCGCCTACTTATCATAATTGAATGAAAGTGAATATCCCAAGTGAAGAATTTCCCATCATTTCCTATGCCCAATTGCTGGGATGGAAATTGCGGCCACTGAACCAGAATCGTTGGGGTCATATCTATTATAGCATAGGGCCGAGCAACCTGTACACCATTGATTGATTTTTTCCAGCTATATGTATGTCTTCTCCTTTGCCTTATCCGTTGCCATATCCGCCGCCAGGCCGCCCCTTTGGGTTACGTGCCATTTGCTTTGTGTGCCACAGAGGCCGCCCCTCCGCCATTGTCAGATTGACTTTTCATTTCGTTTGAAGCTTTTCGGCACCGGGCTTAAGTAACAAGGTCACCCCTCACCCTGCTTTCGGGTGGAGAGAGGAGAGGGAGTGACTAAGGCTGATTCATCGCAGTCGGAGCTTGAATCATAATTGAGCAGAACGCGGAAGGGGAAGAAAACGAACAGCTGCTGCTGGTGTTGCCGCTGTTGCCGCTGTTGATGGTGATGATGATGATCAACAGATCCCCCTTTGGGGCATACACCGCCTGTCAATGAAAGCGAAAAGTTCAGTAGCCACAAATGGAATGGAAGGTGACTCGACGGATGGGACCACCACTACTGTTGGTGGCTATTGGAAGTGTGCTCTGTAGTCTTCAAAGGATCTTTTACATGTTTTGCTTCCCTGAAAATTGTTTAACAGTAAATTGATTCTTAATAGAATTATACCTGTTTATCTGTAGGCAAAAGTCTATTATATAACCTAAAATCAATACAATCAGAAAACAACTGTGAGATATAACACCAATAACACCTGTTTATAGGGTATCTTCTAGCTGCCACTATTTTTCCTTTCTCGCTTAATTGCAGGCAAAAATAAATGCGTAATTTTCATTGTTCAATTTACGTTTTGCGTTTGCTCTGCTGCGCTTTTCCTTGGCCCAAAAGACTTTTCAATATTCGTTTATTTTGAAGATAAATTTTCCGCTTTATTTTGTTGCCAAAAATGTGTTTCTTTAATTTGTATTTGTTTTTCCTTCTATATTTTTGGTCGTTTTTTGCTTGTCACGCGCCACGAGGCTTTCATTGCTGTAGGCGAGGAGGGGTGTGAAAAGGTGGGCAGGGGGGGGGGGGGGGGGCACTGAGGGGCTAAGACAAAGAATGCCGCTGCTGTGCCGTCGTGTGACGTCGTTTTGAAGATCGGACAAAGCGTAATGCCGAAAAGTAAATGCTTTGGAGAGAAAGCAGGAAGTCAACGAAAGCTTCTTCTGAGTATTTGCATCGACGAAAGAACTGTTATGAGAACAGAGAGGTCTCTGACCAGTACTGTTCGAGACGGAGAGAAAGAGAGGGAGTAAAGCCAAGGCGAAGTGTACGAGGGAGCGGTAGAATAATAGTTGCATACTCCGCTTGCAGAGAAAGTAAAAAAGCGAGAGGGGACCTCACCACAACACTATTAGACTCTGCCTTTGGCAAGAACAGTTAGAAAGAGAGCTTCGGATGGCTGCGAGCAGACAGACAAAGAGAGAGAGAGAGTGCTTACTGTGAGAAGAAAGCGTGAAGGAAATGGAAGAACAAAAATAACATAAACTAGAAGCATCGCACGCCATTCACAAGGTCTTTTGCGTCGGTGCTCCCCCTGCCTCTCCCCCCTATTCATCGTAACAGTAGTTGGCATCTTTTATCTGCTCTTTGCCTTCGTCTCCGCTCCACTTGCCGCTTATCTCCTTTTTCGCCAGTGCCTGAACTTCTGGTTTGGAGCACAACGCATGTCGTCTCGGTGGAAATGTTCTACTTGGAGCTGATAGATTTTTGTTTTGCTTTAGTCAAGGGCTTCCGTTTCCTTCAAGTTGGAGTTCCTGGGAAAGTGAAAGCTTTCCAGATCGTGTGTCCGTTCGTGGCACAGCACATCAACGTCATTCGCATCAATAAAACAGGGGAACAGGGGTCCACACTTTTTCTTCCACTTTGATGTAAATCAAACGAAAATACTTCCAAAAAGGGATGACATTTCAGGGACCATCACATTCCTGTTTTTTTTTTCAATTATAAACTTCTGGGCAGAGATTAATAAATAAATATTTGAAAAATTATATGGAAACTGCTGTTTATCACCCATTCATACATATCTTTAATCTATTCACGGCCCGCTCCCATCCCTCCACCCCTTTGCACGCGCGGGCACACATCATAATTAGCATAAAGCGAAAAATGAAACACGTTTGACATAAATGAATTTCAATTTGAAATTGGCATGAGAGCAAATAGGAAAAAAAAAACAACAGCGCAACCGCAGCGAAACCTATAAAATAAAATAAAATAAAAAATAATTAGCATGCGAGACGACCGACCGACACCCAAGAACAACGACAACAGTCCCTATAGAACAGCTAGTTCTCAGCTGATTACTCTCCATCTCCCTCTCTCTTACTCTTGCCTTATCTCTGGCTCTGTTCGTGTGTGTCTTACCCACCCATTCGTTATCGTTTGGCTCGGGTTCTACCGATCCGTTCAATCCCCCCCAGCACATGTTGACTTTATTATCGTCTAGAAGCAATTATAAATTATTATTCCTCTTTTTCTACCATTTATTAAATCGTTCATAATGGAGATTAGGATTTGTATCAATGTCAATGTTTAAACAGATACAAATAACAGAACCAACAGCTGATAAGCAGAAGGGTATTGGTGGGGAGAGCACACACAGCAGCTGATGCGATTAGCAAATGTTTACAGAACTGTAAGTGGACAATACTCAGGGATTGTTATTGTCGTTATCGGAATCTCTTTTGATCATGGAACAGGCTTGAGATATAGATACCGTTTGAAACACGTTAAGTGTAGATTCAAATTCCGCTTCGAAGGCGGTTTTCTATAATCAAAATATTGTTTAGAATGGTACGAGCCTACAAACCAGATTTCGTCATCATACAACCAGAGAAAAAATTCTCTTATAAAATTTTATTGAAAATATGTAAATACTATAGATTTAATATAGATGAAATCTCTCGCAATAGATTAGCTGCGAGAGTGGAAATTACAAAATTCTTTTCACTTTTGACATTAATATGAAAATATTTGATTTAACAACATTTTATGTTTAAAATAAATGTATTTTATATATTGATTTCATATTTACAGCTTCAAATTGTACTTCAAAGAATTCCTATTTTGATCAATCGATGCAGCCATCCCCATACGTCAATTCTTAACGCTATTGTAGCCCGAAAAGTATCTAATACCAGCCTATTTGTTCTTTAAACAACACTTTCATTTCAAAACTTAAGAACACTCTCTGATATGACCCCGAACCCGACCCTGAACTGCTCTTGAAAGACTTGCAAACAGACATTCACTTTATTGGGTTTCCCCCCAGCACAAAGCGCACCGCAAACGGTTTAATGGATTTTTTAATAAGTTCTAATCATAAATCAACTGATTACCTAAACCGGCAACTAACTATCGTTTTTTTTGTCTGTTCTGTCGATTGCAGGCCACCCTGTACAACAAAAGTTCCAGCGAGGTGGGCAGCCTCATATCGGCGAAAGTGAACGGAGCCACACCGCTGGTCATCTCCTGCCGCAATGGACACTACGATATTGTAGAATATTTATTGACAAAGTGTCGCGCCAATGTGGAGCAGGTGGGATCCGTGAGCTTCGATGGTGAGCCCATCGAGGATGCCCCGCCGCTGTGGTGTGCCGCCGCCGCCGGACACCTGGGCATTGTCAAGATGCTGGTCCGCAGGGCGGCAAATGTGAACAGTACGACGCGAACGAACTCAACGCCCCTGAGGGCCGCCTGCTTCGACGGACACTACGAGATCGTTAAGTATCTGGTACATCATGGAGCGGGTGAGTATATAGAGCGCAAAGATTCCTGGCAATTACTGATCCCTTGCTATTCTTTTGGACAGACTTTGAGGTTGCGAATCGCCATGGACACACCTGCTTGATGATCGCCTGCTACAAGGGACACTACCGCATCGCCCAGTACCTCCTCTCGCTCAATGCGGATGTCAACAGATGCAGCGTCAAGGGAAACACAGCTCTCCACGACTGCGCCGAATCGGGTTCCCTGCAGATCCTGCAGCTGCTGCTAAAGCACGGCGCCACCATGGATGTGGACTACTACGGAATGACGCCGCTGCTGGCGGCCAGTGTCACCGGCCACATGCCCATTGTGGAGCACCTGATCACGCTGCCCTGCGTCAGCCGTGAGTCGCGGATACATGCCCTGGAGCTGCTCGGTGCCACATATGTGGACAGAAAGCGAGACATGGCCGCGGCCCTCAATCTGTGGCGTCGAGCGCTCGAGGAGCGCAATGTGGAACCGCCGCTGACGAAGAAGGTGCAAGAGCCAGTGCCCGCCTACGAGATGGTGCGCGAGGTGACCAACGTGGAGGAGCTGGAGGAGATGGTGCTCGATCCCGATGAGATGCGAATGCAGGCCTTGGTCATTCGCCAGCGCATCCTGGGACCCACTCATCCAGACACCAGCTACTACATCAGATTCAGGTGGGTTTGCGGATCTCTTGACTGAAGATTGGACTATGCTACAGCTTTTGTTTCCATTCGTAGGGGTGCCCATTACGCCGACGCTGGACGCTTTGATCGCTGCATAGAGCTCTGGTCGTACGCCCTGACAATGCAGCAGAAAATCCTGCAGCCGCTCAGTCCCATGACACAGTCCTCGCTGCTTTCCTTTGCCGAGCTCTTCAGCTTCATGCTGGTCGAGGCGGGGCGCCTGCTGCCGCGTGGTCGCGTCGTGCCGCCCATCGAGGCCGATGGCATGCTAACCATTTTCTACAAGGCCGTCAAGGAGGTGGAACGTGGACAGGCCTTTAATCTCGAGCAGCAGCAACAGCAGCAGCAGCAGCTGCAGCAGCCACAGCAGCAGCTGCTTGCCGCCAGCAAATCCTGTTCAGCTTCCTCATCCACGTCTTCCGCTTCGGCCACCTCCGCCACCGCCTCCACAACGCTGCTGTCGGCGCATCAGCACGACTGCAATCACGACCCGAACGCCCTCAGCCGCACCATGATAAGTGCCATCCACATCGGCTGTCTGCTCAGCTCGCTGCTGGACACGGAGAGCCTCAGTCCTGAGATGCGCCGCCAGGTGATGGGCGCTCTATATCGGCTCAATCGTCTCAAGGTGCGCGTGCGCTTCGACAGAACGGCCCTGCACTATTCCTGCTATCGTGAGGGAACACTGGCTGGTCGCTATCCCTCCTGCCAGTTCCCATCGACGACGCTGGCGAAGGCCCTGCTGGAGGTGGGTGCCGATCCGAATGCCATCGATGATGCGGGCAACACGCCACTGCATCTGGCGGCCACACTGCAGCCGTATGTGGAGCCCTTGGCGCACATATTGCTCGAGGGTGGGGCGCATCTGGTGAGTAATAGATTATGGAATTCCCTTAGGACTTTGCTAATCTCTCAACCAATCTCTAATAGGATACGAAAAACTTTGCTGGGGAGACATTCGAGAGCCTGCTGGGCCCCACGCCCATGCACAAGATCATTGATCCGATGAAATACACGACGCTGGCGTGCCTGGCTGCACGGACCATAAAGAGGAACGACATCAACTACGAGGGAACGGTCCCGGAGACACTCTACGACTTTATCGAGCTGCACTAGAGGGAGAGCCGTGGCTTGGACGAGAGTCAACACACACTCAATTCACTCGATCGCTCACTCGCTCGATCAATCGATCACACGCCTCCCCGCCCGCCATCAACTATATAATACCTACATACTACTACTACGACTACTGTCTGCACGTGTATATTTAGAGATGGAGAGAGAACTACGATGATGAGGATGAGCTGCGGCCCTGACGGAGAGCGTTACTAATTGACTAGGAACTGATTTGTGATCAAGCAAAACGCAAAGTGCCTGTATCCAGGATGCCGCATCGGAACAGGACAGTGTATAACGAATTGACACAACGACAGAACCACAGAATCACGAGACAGAAAGCGGAATCAACAGAAGCAAAAATCAAAGTTCCAGAGAACCAGAGAGAATGGATACCGAGAGTGCTGCTGTCTTTGAATTTTGCTTGCAAAAAATGTGTTGAAGCCTTCTTCTATCTTAACTATGTGTTCTTGCTATTTTATTTTGTATGAATTATGATTAATATAATATTATGTGTATGTGCTGCAGCGTCGGGGCGTGCTCGAGCAGCTTAACCCACGGCTAGCGCCTGTCTGGCTGCCACGCCGGCGACTCCTCAGAGCTGCTGTGAGCACGCCCCCCGATGCGGCCCAAATTGTTATATGCGTAACGAGTATTTAGTGTTTATGACCAAAAAACAGAAATCAAGAAAATTTAAAAAAAAAAACGAAAACCGACCGACCGACTTTTAAGTGATGTTTACAGGCGAGAAGAAGAACTAAGTTTTGGAAATATAAAAACTAATTAACAATCATAATCGTTCATTGGTGTATCCGTATCCCACAACTTACTTACCTTAAGAACAGAACCCTCGAATCTATACTGTCTACAAATATTTATGTACTGGATCGAAGGAATGGGTGGCTATAAAATCGTGGATAGAGTTTGACAGTGGCCTAAGGAGCAGTGGATAGGTGATACCAAGAGGGTGCTGTAAAGTGGATGGCAAGCAAACACTGGTGGCTAGAAAGTGTGTCAGAAGTGACACTAAAGTCCGGAATAGTAGGTCAAGCTGTAAACGAAGTATGGAACACTTCTGTCTAAGAGACAAAGAAGAAAGAGTTTGCCACCAGTAGTCCGCTTATGGAAAATTGTGCACACATGAAAGTGGAAGACCCCTCCATTCAATGTCAGAAAAAACTGAGCCAATATCAATCGCTTTAAATGTTGCTACACTGAGGGCTCAAAAATATACTACTCCACGTTGAAATCTTACTCGAACACTAGTGGCATGAGACTGTACATCACCGAAGGAAGTGTTTTCCACAATTCTAAATTTTTGGGACAGAAAACAAATATTCCTGAAACTATAAATAAAGTGGAGTCCCCACTAATGGACACTTATCTGTACACTAGTGTCCAGAATAAAGTATCACACTGCATGCACTGCACAGTGGCGGCCTGGAAAAGTTTTCGAGTAACAAATATGGACTCTATTGTTGTATTACTTTGATTTGCATACGTTGCAGTATAATGTCATATGGGTTCTCCATTAAAAAATTATCATTAGAATGATCAAGCTTTAATTGAATCGTTTTAATAAATTTGTTATTCAGGTCGTAGGAAATTAATACTTTCCATGGATTACAGGGTCTTTTCGATAATGGAAATTTACTTAACGCAGATATAGCTTTTTCCAGTCACCAGTCTAAATAGAATGAACTGCAATTCGATATCATATGCGCTGTTAGCATATACTGTGTAATTATTGTATCTATGTATATTAAGCTATGCAAAATGATAGAAGTGCAACCATGGGAACAGCGATCGTCCATGTAGAGCAGGCTTTAGTGCGGGACGGTAGGTTTTGTTGGGCCGATTACACTATGCAACAGATTAATGGAAGATTCTTTTTACCTCTGCTTCTTTGGACTTACAAAATATATAATAAGAAAATCAATAACAAAATTCCAAGTGACATATTATTTAGCTTAAGGTTAGGTTTTCTGAAATCTATTAAAGACACAATATAAAAACTCTAAGGCAGACAATTTTCACCGATTTTATTTCAGCCAGAAAAGACAGTGATCTCATCTTTATCTGGTGAAAAATCCAGAAACTAACCTTTACCAGAACTTATTTATTACACTTATGTACATCATCTTCGTGGGTTCAAAAGAACACCATTAATTTTGTTGCATAGTGCAAAAGGTTCGAGCAAAAGTGTGCTGAACCGAGTGTAAATTGTAGGTATTTTCTTATCCAAAGCCCTAGTGTAAAGTAACAAAAAATTTTAATGAAGAAATAAAACTGATAATATATTTTAAACGAAAGCCTATAAAAACCAAGCCAGACCTCAACTTTGGCCACACACTGAAGATATGTTGTTTCCATTGGGTTGTCTTTTTGTGGTGTTGGCTGTGGCCGGACCCTGTCTTGTGGCGTCAGAAGGCATAGAGACCTACGAGAACTACTACAACGAGATCCATGTGGACGACGAGCAGGCCGAGGCCAAAACACGCAACGCCTTGAAGTCGGAGTTTCAGCGATGGCCTGGCAACAAGATCTACTACCGCATTTCCGGGGACTACAGCGATCAGGAGGTGGCCAATGTCCGGACGGCCATGTCCAGCTTCAACGAGCAGACGTGTGTGCAGTTCGAGGAGATTAATGGATCTCCGCCCGCAGGTCGTCGCTATGTGTACTTCAAAAAGTCCCCGAACATGTGCGGAACCCGAGTGGGCTATAATCCAATACCCTTTGGCTCCCACGATGTCCAGCTTAACGAGCGCTGTCTCACCATGCCCGCTGTGATCCAGCACGAGACGCTCCACCTCCTTGGTCTCTTCCACGAGCAGAGTCGCCCGGATCGCAATGAATTCGTCCAGATTGAATACGACAACATCCCTCGCAAGTACTGGTCGCAGTTCATGGCCATGAATTCGACCACCACCTACAACGTCCCCTACGATTACGAGAGCGTTATGCATTATGCCAAGAATGCCTTTGCCAAGGATCCCACCAAGCCCACCATTCGGGCCTTGGTTGACGGCAAGCCGGTGGAGCGCGAATTGGGCCAGGTTCGGGGCCCATCCGAGGGCGATTGGACCAAGATTCGTTTAATGTACAAGTGTTAGACCGTCGATAATGGTGTTATGGAATTGGATTGGTAATAAAACTGGGCTAACTTATTTGAAATATTTTTGTGGGGTCAGGGTCAGGTATGGTTTGACTTTGATTGGATTTAGCCCTAGCTCTCAGCCTATGCGTTTGACAAAAGAGATATAATACGTAAGTAAGATTCATTTAGCCCACACATATTTTTGGAAAAAAGTCAGCCGATTGCTCCTTCTATACATGAGGCAGGCTCTTGCCTGTATTCTGTATAGCATTATGACACTTTTTGAAGACGCTTGATTCCCAATATCAAAAAACTTGTATTTCCTTTGTATGATAATTATTTTTTTAATATTATATTTAATATACATATTTAATAAATGACTTCATATTAGATTAATTGGTGTTAGGGCATGCAGCGTATTCGTATGTGGTGAAATTGGATGTGTGTAACACCCAGAACGAAGTGTTTCCGTCCTCAAAATGTATTTATATTTTTAATCAGAATCAATAGCCGAGGCAATAAAAAGGAGGCCTCTGCTGTTGCGCTTCCATCAGATCGACATGAATAAAAGAACGGCACCATGCAGAGGAATCTGAAGAACTGTCTTCGTCGTATACTTAATATTTTCATGAGTTATCGGTTTTTTCAAAATTATTTTAAGCTCAAAAATTTGAACAGCTATCGAGTATCGAACATTTTATATCGATTTAATTAAACACCTATACATTCGAATACTCTGCTGCGCTGACTCATGAAACTCATGACTCATGACTCACGGCTAGACATGACGTTTTACCTACATGTTACTTATATTATAAGAATTATAATCATAAGTATAATAATTATAATGTATTCATGTGGCTCATCATAGTATCTACATATATTGTCTTTGTTTGGAAGCACCGTATTCCGCAATAAATGGCATCTAGTAGCACTGGAATGCATCGAAGTTACATAATACACTGGTCGTCGAACAGGTAGCATTTCCATTGAATGTTCAGCGACTTCTAAAGCCAAACATAAGTCCCAAGAGGTGTTTTTATATCCGGTACTCGAAGAGTATAAGGGTACATTTTCCCAAAAATTTGTGGCCAAATAACCATACCTTGCAGATTGCAGAGACTGAATAAAATCTGAAGCGAGATAAAACGGCTGGTGTTGGTGTGCGACTGAGAAAAAAGAGAAAGAAGTAAAAAATAAATTTTTTGAAAAATGGAAACCGATAAAATCAAATTTATAAAATTTTTACATATGTACATGTATGTACATACATGCATATACTGTCTGAGTACCGGTTACAAAGTAGAGGCGCGGCACAGAACGTTCCCACTCGCTGTTTACTAAACTTAACAATTTTTATTAATTTGGGGCTTCGGCAATGGGAAAAAATACTGCTTCATAGTTATACTAGTATGAGTCCTTGGACTCTGTGTACTCTTAATAATTATTTAAATTCTGGCACACGGCCTGTCCCAGGCATTATGGACCATTTCGCAAATGGATGGTGATTTTGTCTCTGTGGAAATAGGCTTTACAAAAATTATGATAAAATCGTACGAATAGGTGATGCAGTGGGGCCCAAGAGCTCTTAACTTACCCAATAACAGCGAACCATTTACAAGAAGCTGGACTTGGAATCGAGCTAGATGTTTGGGTGCCACATGAATTTTCCTAGAACGAATATCCATCAACCCCACAAAGAACTTTATGTCCTCTATGTACATATCACATTATATTTGGACGAGTAATAATCATGCAATAATCTTTGAGCAACAATAAAATACTATTGTAAAAGTGCGCACCACTAAGACATCGATTTTCTTCTGATCTAGCTCTTATGGACAAGTCAAGAAGCTCTTCCGTTTCATTAGTTACAAGTCAAGAGCGCCGAAGTGGGGAGCATCCCCGAAAAAGGAACTAAATAAATCGATGTACCTACTGTCTTAACTATTATCGAAATATAAACTTTTACAGGACAATGGTTAGTCCTTCATCTTTCTACCATTCCCATTCGATTATAGCCCGTTAGCTTTGGAAGAGGCGCTTTCAAGCCTCTTCAAACAGTGCCGCCTCAACAAAAACCCGAACTCGAATGCATTTGATTTCAGGGAAGTGCAAGTGTAAGTGTCAGTTAAATTTACAGACAGCGTGGTGGAAGAAGGAGGAGTGGCAGGAGCAGGAGCAGGAGCTGGAGAAGAAAAAGATGTAGGGGAGCGGAATACAATCCAAATCCAAGGCACTTAATGGTGCACTAAGTGCTTAAGCAAGGCGAGTGTCTGAAGCTGCCTATTTGAACTGTGTCTGCTTCTGTCTCTCTCTCTCTCTCTCTCTTACCCAGTTCCATGGCGTGCGTGCGAGTTTTTGTGTACTTTAGCACTAGGACCCCTTATCTTTCGTCAGCTTTTTGTTCGTCCCTGCATTTATTGCAAGGCCACATTAAAGTGACGGCAATTAACGCGAGCCAGTGTGAACAACATCTTGGAGGTAAGGCTGTGTAAATATGCCAACAAATGTCCATAAAATGCTGCCCTCAAAAGAGAGTCCATGGCCCAACAATCAAGCAATTTAAGGGAGAGCTTCATGGAAGTTCGAAACTGGCGGCAAAGAGAGCGAATGCCGCCTGGAAGGCAGCGCCACATGCTGTCTAACCTTCGACCCACTGTGCTAGGCGCGAAAAGCTCTCTCCCAGAAGCACAAGCGCGCCATTTGCTCCAACTCTGGCACTCGTTCTCGTTTGCCATCGTTTGAAGGAGCTTTGGCTTGGTTTGGCTTGGTTTGGCCCGTCGCCAGACGGCTCGTTCTTCATGGCTTTCAGTGTATTTAGTGCATTCGTTTCGTTCGGTTCGCTCCAACGGTACTCTGTCGTTCGGTGAAAGGACAACCTCAATATAACCCATACAAGTGAAGCACCAACACACACACACGCACTCACGCATCGTCTACATAGGTGCGGCAGGCAGTCAGTGGTAGTGCCAACGGTAACGGTAACGGTTAAAGTCACATTCGACGAGAAGCTTGAAAGTAAAAGTTGTTCAATGTGCAATAACGCTAAATAATAAATAAGCCAAAAAGCGAATATGTATAAAGCCGAGCACGCAACGTGAAAGCACACGGAGCGGAGCCATGGCGTGCCATGCAAATAAAATATGCAACACTCGAGTGAAACAAAAAACGAGAGGAAATATGTTCGAGGAAAATGTGCGAAAGTGCCCCACGACTAATCCATGAATAATCGAGTAGCCCCAAACTAAATAAAATTAAACAAAATATGCATTAAACACGGTCACACTAAGACCCACTATAGCTCCCACCCACTATAGCTCCTCCGTCAGCTGTTCCGTTCTCACCTTTTGCTCTTTGCTTCCTGCCTGACCGCATAACGATCCATCCTCCGTACATCAGTCAAGGCCGCATAACGGTGGAATACTCGCGTACTGCACAGAGCAAACAAAAATACCAAAATATTATTTCAACTTTGTTTTCAGTTTGTTTGGTGGCCAGCAGCCCTGAAGGTCGCCTCTGGAATAACTTTTAACAGTTTTTGTTTTTTTTTTTCAGCTTTAAGAAATAATTGTGAAGGCGCCCTTTTTGGTTGTTTTCCTTTTTAAATTTCGCGGAAAATGTTACGATTTTTCACTCATTTGAACTTTTCCGTTTGAACTTTTTTCAGTTGTGGTTGTGGCTGGGTTTAGGCCCCCCTCTGGGGCACATAAATTAGGGTCGTATTCTGCTTAACCAGGAAAAAATTTGCATAAAAGAAAAGGGCGAGAGAATTTATTAAACGCAGGAATCACACGGCTGAGATATCCTCATCCTCATGCCCACGGACTATTCGCCTTAAACCGAACCTAACTCAATCCCTCCCGCGTCTACATAAAAGGGATACGGCAATAAAATTTACGCCTTTTTTAGAGATTTGAAAGAAAATGCCTAGACATAAAATTCCTTATATTTTTTGCCAGATTAAAATTGATAAAATGTCAGCTTGCAGCTGAAAACTTTTTAATAAAATAAAATCAATTCAAATTCAATCAATCATCAAGCAGCAGAGACAACGACAGCGCCAGAAACCTCAAAATCAACCAACAATCGAATAACAATCGAAGAAGAGGAAAGGTAAAACCGATTAATTTTATGAGCTAATTATCCGATAATTTCTTATTTTATTGTCTAGTTAACACCGATAATCGTGTAATACCCCCAAATAGCACCACCATTCATTCATTCACATATACGTACTCGTATTCGTACGGACAAAAAACCCACACAATTGTGTCATTGTTCGGAAGTGGTTGTGGGGTGAGTGGTTGAGTGGGGTGGGGCTTGATGTTTTGGGTGGTTTTGGTGGTCTAGGGGTGGCTGGGGTGTAGCGGAAGCAACGGGTGGCCAGCGATGGGCTCATTGTTGTATTTATTTATTGTTAGGCTTTTTTTTATTTATCTTTGCTGTGGTCTCGGCATCCAAGCGGTTGGTCAGCGGGTGTTCTACGTTGTGGAACTCAATTTAATTATGAAATTGTTAGAAATTACCTAATGGATAAACATACACCTGAGGCATACAGGTGAGTGGTGGGGGTCAATCAAATTATTGACAGCTCGCTGGAAAAGGGTTATTCAATGGATACGTATTTGGATGCCTCTCAAGAAAAGAGTTGGTAATTAGGAATGGCATATGCATATTTGTACGAACCTTGCCCACAACAGACAGAACATAAAGCATTCACGAAAGAGTTGAAGATGTTGCCTCTTCGCATACTCGTACCATACGAAAATAAACATTACAAGGAAAACATGTATTGAACGGAAGGCTCCACTAAATAGAATGAAAGAGTGATACAGAATGGGATTACAAAGAGAAAGCGGAATTAACATATCTATCGTATAGATTGCTAGGAGCTCTTTCCTGACTGTGTTTATCTTGTCTAGCCATCTGGCCATTCGTTAAAGGGATATGAAAGACATTCAATGCTGCAGTTCTTGTATACGGAATTTAAGAGGTTCATCTAACAATTTTTGGGGAACTACAAAAAGATATAAGCCACCAAGCAGGTAGCGGTGAAAATAGATTTCATTACAAATTACCATTAATGATGTTCGAGAACTTTTAAGTTTTTATTCAATTATACTTTACTGGCTACTTCTTATATTATAAACTGGACTCAGGAAATAAAATCCCTTAACATTGTAATGAATTTTACAAACCTTCCGTTGCCTATGGAGGATTTTAAACTTGAGAAATGATGTTCCCTCTCTAATTAGTTCTTTGCACTCTAATTAAACAAATTATCTTTCCGCATAGCCATCGGGGGTGCTATGACTGGAGGGATTCAGATGTATCCTCTGATATTTATCTACTCCCTGTTTCTTTTCCCTTTCATGCAACATTTTTCTTTCTCTCTAGAAATTTCACTCACATTTCATTTCAGCAAGGTCAAATCGTATTTCTGGGAATGGAAATTTCTGCTCAAAAACGAAACCCAAATACATAAATTATTTTTATTGTACTTAACCTTTTCCATTGCCTTGACTCCTGCCTTGTCTGGCCCAAATCAGCTTAAGTCCCCCAATGAAATTCATAAGCTTACTTTAACATATACATATATACGCATACACGTGAATGTGTTGGAATATGTATATGAGAGTCACCCAAAAAAATGAAACGAGAGCAGCAGCAGCATTAAAGTGGGGCGGCGTAGACAAAGGAAGGCCTTGCTGAGTCCATATTGACACTATGGAACTCGATGAAAATTAAACCCAAGCTCGAGAGTAAATAAATTGGGAAACATTTCAGGCTTTGTTTATATAATGTTGCTCTCCTTGGTTCCGGACTAATCATCAATATTTTATTAGGATTTATGTTTTATTTCACATCCAATACACAATCTGTATACGTATATATTGTTTTACTGGTTAAATGGAAAGTTCTTTGGCATATTTCTTTTTGTATCATCAAGCGTATGGTTTCTTATATTTTTCATTTATCAATTTTAGTCGGAATGTTTTTGTGGGATTAGTTTACTTTTGTTATTATTTCGCCATATGCCATTTTTTAAATTAGTTTTCGTACATGGAATTGTTAACGAACTTTTTAAGAAGTACATAGCTACTTATGTATATTTATCATCTGAGGTATTGATTGTATTACTAAAATCTCCCATGTGCAATTTGTATTATGGTCAGATTGATTCAATCAAATTGAGCGACTAAATGCTTTAGGACTACATCGATGATCACGGTGGTTTTTTGACCCAAATTTATCTGCTTTTCTTGTTTCGATTTTAATCAGCTTATAGCATGTTTTCTTTTTTTTTTTGTCATTAACTTTATACAATAATACGAATATTTCATGTGATTGAAACGAAAAATATTCTTTGTGTTTGCCTTACCATTGACACATTTATTTAATTTGCATTTTTATACTATTTTTTTCTCTGTTTGCAATGAATGGAATATTATGCAAATATTTAACAAATAGCAGGAAATCAAAAGCAAACAAAAGAACCAAATTGATGGGGATTCCATCTGAAGGGAAGGGCCTACACAATTACGAGTAAGGCAACAATTTATGTAGCTGGTCAGTGCTTTGGGGTTGAGTGTTAATCAAACATAATTATGTACAGAGTGGTCGTGCATATTCCATTAATCAGGGAGGACAAGTTACGTCACGGGAATATCGGACGCAGTTTCTGTTTCCTTTCTGTTTGACAGCTGTCACTTTAAATGTCAATTGTGAATGCTCGATATCGGGCAATACTTTTTGAGGGGGTTAAATATAAAACCCATCCTTCAGAGAAAGAGAAGGTGCTCCGAGTGGGCGGGGTGGGCTGGGTACTCACTTTTTAATGGAAATTATAATGAGACGTCGAGCTTTAATTATGCATGGACTTGGACTGGACTGGGCTGTGAAGTGGCTGTCGGTGGGTGGGCTTCGGGGGCTGGTTAGCCGGTCACGCCCTGGCACTCACAACTTAATGCCCGACCATCATCCGTGACGTGCTTAACCCTCGGCCCCTGGACGGACGGACCTTGGCACTAATTAAAACTAACCAGCAACAAAAGCATGGGAAAACCTGCCGAAGAAATATTACAGCAGCCATCACCTTGAAGCTTTTCCCATGCCACTTTTCGACAGTTTTCCTTGCGGGCCCGCTCCGCACCGTCGGCCATTGTTGGATGGAAAAGTTTTGTGGCACATTTCTCTTGGATTTGCCACGCATTGACACTCGCCACGGCATTTGGAAGGGGTGGCCCTGAGGCTGTGGATGGGGCTGGGGCTGCATATTTTGTCAAGCCCCGACATTGCACTTGATGACTTTTCCCGTACCGTACCGCACCGTACCGCACCGTACCCCATGCCATTCCATGCGCTGTTGGGCGCTCTTTTTTCTCTCTCGAACTTTTTAAAGTGCTGCAAACGAAGGGGACGGGGTGGGGGGTGAAAACTTTCCCCAAATGTTGCCAGTTCGTGGGGGCTCAGAGCTCGACAGTTTTAAATGAAACTTTTGCTGTAACTTACACTCTGACGAGTGAGAATTCTGCTCTGTTTTATTCCCTTTCGTTCACTTTTTTCCTCGTTGTTTCGGCTTTTGTTTAACGCTTTATGTGCCATTATTTCGGATGCTGTCAGGGACATTCTATGAATCTTCTTCTCCCATTGTTTTCATACACTTTTGGAGGGATGCAGGGGCTCAGTGGTGACTGGGAAAATGAATAATGAAACTTGTAAATAGACATAATACGATCAGCATAGGGAGACATTAGCAAAAAGTTTTCTGGAAAATGGAATGAAAGTGCTCCCAAGGGACGCCGAATTCATTTTAAGTTTTGCTGAAAGCTCTCTCTGGGCCTGAGGATAGATTAGGAATTTTACATTTGAATGATCTGGAGAGCTGGATAATGATGGGCCAGGACTAGACCTCAAAATTTCACAAATTTCTGAACTATTATTTTTTGAACTGCTTTATCTAGTTCTTAATGTGGTTTTTGGTTTCAAAGAATATTTGATCAGTATTTTATAAAGTCATTTTATCATTTAAGTAATTTATTATCGGCTTAAATTTATAAGTTTTTCGGCAGTAAAAAGATTGAAAATTGATTAGATTTTGCTTACAAAATAATTAATTCCAATAAAATATTATAATATGGTTGGCAATTTGTATGATACGAGTACAGTCCTCTCCGCTTAAGTAGGTTTGGAAATAGTGATCTCGATGTTAAGGATACTTATTATCGTGACTTTTCTAGAACAGATCCTTAAAATCTTGCATCCTCAAAGAGAGAGATGGGTAGGATATTGTCCGGTTAGAAGTTTGTTGGAAGCTCCATTTTGTCCCAGATCCTCACGAGGTTCGGAGACGGTAGAGCGATAAGGCGATTGAATTGTTTATTTCTAAGGCTTTTACAAAGCTTTAAACTTGAAAGTTGGGGCTTCAAATCATTCCCATTTTCCGGCTGAGGCCAATATACGACAGAAATTGCTTAGTTTTTTAAATCTGTGGAGCAAAGCTTATCAGGAATTGTTTCCCAGATATATGTTTATATAAATTTTCAATTTTCGAAATCCCGGTCTTGCTTAAATTCCTAATCAAGTTAGGAATTTCCATTGCATTGGAAAGAGGAAGAACTGTCCAGCCAGCCGGATGTCTTGGCAAATTAGAAATTCCAGAATTCCGCCTTGGGGCGCATTTAATTTATTATTTGTTGACTTTAATAAAAATCACATTACGATATTGCCAACGCAGCGCAAATTTTTGTTTTCTGTTTTATCCTCACGAATTTCGGAGATTTTCCCTTTGGGGTTGGGGTTGGGGTTCGGGTGGGAAAACTGTTGTCTTCGCCAGTTACAGAAACACATTCATAAAGCAAACACTGCCAATCCAAGAAGAGGGACGATGGGGCCACGCGCCGCCGGATAATATATATAGAAAAAAAATCTGTCCTTGTGCCCTACGCCACCTGGAGATGGGGCCCAGGGACAGAAGCACGTGCCGGGACACACACACACACACACACACACACACACAAACGAATTTCCATTTATTTCGACATTGACGTTTGCATTTTTAATGAAATTCCAAACATTTTTAACGCCCCAAAACTGTATTCGTGTTCCTCCTCTTGTCTCATTCTTACAGGCAGCGGCAGAGTCCTGCGATCCACTCCGAGGCTGGTCGAGCCGGGCCCCAGGGCTAATGAAGATGAAGTGATATCCCGGCCAGCTGGAACTGTGTTCGAGCCGAAATTAAACAGAATATAAATCGCTGGAAAAATGGCAGCGATTTGTCAGCATCTGTCGAGCGGAACAAATGCAAAGTAGTTATCTAACTAAAGGGAAAACTACAGAGAGTCTAGCGGACTAGGCGGTAGAACACATACATTACGCAAAACGATTTTCTTTTCATTTTTTTGCTGGCGACCTTTTTGTTGCGGCAATTTCACGCATCGCAGCGGGATGATGGCAGGCGCTAATCAGGCCGCTCCCAGCCACGCCCCTCAGTTATTCCGGCAACACATTTTCAAATAGCTCCAACCCAACACAGAAAAACCCAGAGAGATAGAGTGAGCGAGCGGGTGAGGGCTCAGAAGTGAAATATTATGGCCACTTTTCAAATGGAAATGCGCCAGCAGCAGGAGCAGGAACAGCAGAAGGAGGAGCAACGAACGAATTTAAAGCAACGAGAAACGGCAACATCTGCAACAGCAAGAGCGGAAACACTTGCCACATCCACAGCCAGGAGACAACGACCAGAGCGAGATCAACAGCACTCGGACCCACCAGAAATCAGCACAGATTGCACCAGGCTTTGGCCAGGCACCTGCAATAGCAGCAGCACAGCCAGGGTTAGTGGTTGCGGCAGTGGCAGTGGCAGAGGCAACACCAATCCACTCATCAGCAACATCTCCACCAACAACAACAAAAGCAGAAGCAGCAACACCAGGAGACTCTACGTGGACTGCAGAGGCCGTCAAAGGGCACTGATAATGCTCAGCATGCTCTTTCTTATCATCGCTCTGATATCTGGAAATGGAGGTGAGGGAAATACACTGAACGAAATTCGTAGAGCCTTTTTGGTTGAATTTAGATTGGATCAGCTTATGAACTTATGGCATTTCGATTACAAGAAGAACTTTTTATCAGAAACTCACTTTTTGAACTAAAATATTTGAAATATATATATATAATATTTTATAAGAATATATTTGGTCGAAAAAGAAGGCGAGTTGTGTGCAGATATAGGACTAAGCGGTAAAATATTTTTAAAATATTAAAAAACTTTAATCAAATAGTGCATTAGGTACATAGTAGAGGATAAACAGAGTGCAAGTCTTAACATTAGAGCATAAGTTGCTGTTGTGTTTTTCCCATTTCTCATGACAAGTGCTAGCAAAATTGAGAGAGATCGCGGTCTGCCATGCCTATTCTACCAAAATCCCCCTCTCCGCATTAATCAAGAAATAAATTAGTAATTTTTTAAATGGCAAACAGCTACCCTTTGAAGCGGCTCACAGCATTTTTTTATTTTTAAATATTTTAATAAATGAATAGGTAATTAATTTACTTAACTGTCTGAATTAAAATACAATTATAGTCGTATGTTTACTATTATTAAATTAGCCCAAAATATGAGTGTACTACATACATACTGCGAGCAGAAATAAACTTCATAAAAACTTTATTGAATAACAACAATTTCGCATTCAAATTGGGCTTTTTCCATTCTTAATTTCACAAGTAGGCACTCGCAATCGTAGTTTTTTCTTTCTTTTGCACATGCAAGCGAAGCGCATTTTCCATTACCATTCGCGCAGGAAAATCGGGGAAAACTTTAATCAAATTTTGTGCTCCAGTTTCTTTCTGGGTGCCTGGTGCCCATTCACGAAATAGCAATTGTTGCCAAATTGATTTGACCAATTTCATTTATTGATTTCGATTTTCGATATCATTCATTTTGTTGTCGTTGTCATGCCCAAATGAGTCAGCAGAAAAACCAAACCAAATCAAACCAAACCATTCCGGACCCCGAACCAGAACCAGAACCAGAACCGGCAGCAGGACACACCATCTAGAAAAAGTCGAGAGGGAAAATCTATCAGCATCGAGAGGCCGAGAAGAGAAAAGAAACGAGAGAGAGAGAGAGAGGGGTAGAGATGAGATGGGGGGAGAATCGCTCGGCAATTTTGTGCTTGTCTGGTCCTGGCTTACATAATTTTCATTCTTTCATGTGCCCTGTTTTTCCGTTTTCCGTTTTCCCGGTTGCTGTTCGGTGTTTTGCCTGCCTTTGGGCTGCGTTTTTAGGTTAGGTAATTAATTTTGTGTGCCTGAAAAGTCTTGGGAAATCAATGTTTTGGCCCAGGCCCAGTGTGGCCCGGAGGAAACTCCCAGGCGACGGGCATGTGCCAGGTCCTGATTGAATGGGTGTGAGCCCTGAACCGCCAATATGTGTGAGTGTCGGTGTGTGCGGTTGGTGCTTTTATTTAAGTTTCATTTTTCATATGCCGTGCTCTGCCTTAATGACGAGAGCCCAGCCTGCCTCTGGGCCAAGTCGGTGCCCCAGTCGGGGTATGGAGGGGCGAGAAAGAGGTAAATCATCATTAGGGCCTAATGAATCGGCCAGTCGAGGGCATAGTGCACTAGATCCATAGATAAAGAACATGCGATTGCCAGTTCTGGCCCCCATTCGTATATTCAAATTAAATCACCAAATTTTCTGAAGGCGAAATCAATTCCAGTTCCAGTTCACGATAATATCATTATCTAACTAATGAGTGCATTAGGTATTCCTTGAGGCCAGTAAACGATTATACATCGAATGAAAATGTAATACTAAAGAGACATACAAGATTCTTAATTAATCAGAGGATATTCTTATAGAACTAGTATTATAGTTTTCTTCAGATAGAAATCTATTTACTTTTGATACATATTTTGCATTTGAAAATGATCAGAATTGAGAGAGATTGCGGTTTGCGTCGACAGTCCTAATAGATTAGGTATTTCTTATTAAATAAACAATTCCAGGAAGGTTAAGCTGAAATTGAAGGTTTACCAGACGATATTTAATCTTATTTTTCATTTTGAAGTTCATCAATTGTTGTCCTTGAATAATTCCACCTTATTCCGCGGTCATTCAAGACACTCCAAGGCACTCTAAGCTGCTCCGCGAACAGTATTGATTTCCTACTCAAATTACTGTTGGCGAATTCAAAGAAATTTTTAATATAATTTTGAACACAAACACCGTTCAAATAAAAGAAAAACAAAGAACTGATGGCCCGAGGAATGGCTCAATTCGATACTGAGAACACCTTTGGAGATACCGAGAACTCCGAATCCGAGTTGGAGTTGAAGTTAGAGTCGGACCTGGCCGGAGGGCCAACTGACAAATGGAAACCTTTAAATATTTAAACATGAAGTTCTTTGTGACTTGTGACTGTCACGTGGAATGTAATGGAAGGGCAATGGCTATGACTGAGAGTAGTAGAGGATGAGTTTTAATTTTTTAAGTGAATTCAAAAATTTAAAGGTAACTGCGTTCATATATTTTGTTGTTGTTATGGTTTGTTTTCCACGAAAAGAAGTTCACCTTAGAAGACAGATACGGACACGCACACGCACACACACATACACACACAAATACATCGGAGTTAAAAGTTTTGACATTTCAAATGTTTCTGACAACAACAACCGCAACAGGCCCAGAACCCACCCCTGGAATGTTAATAATAACTGTGCGGGCGTAAAAATGCCAGCAAACCCCAGGACGTAAGAGCACCGACTCCGGACCCGTACTCGTACCCTGAGCAGGACAAGAACAAGCCAAAGACGGAGGCGAGGACGAGGAATAGGACGAGGCTGAGATGAGCAACAGGAACATGCCCTGCGGTCTACTTGTGTTCAAGTTGCTGACGTTGACGACGTCGACGTAACAGACCCGGACACGAGACATGAGCACGGACACGGCAAACGACCCTCTCTCCGATTCGCCGACTCTCCGGTGCTGCGACCTTTGGTACATGACTTTGCGATTTCTGCAGGGCGCTTTTAAGCCAAAAATACAGAAAGAGAGACAAAATAAAAATAAGAAATATTTCTCGTTCGTGGTCTAATTTATGTTTGGCAGCCAACAGCCAACAGCCAACAGTTGACGTTGCGGTCTTTGGTCCCAGGCAGTCAATTTATTTTAATTTCTAGCCAGAGGCGTTTTATTTATTATCATTCTGGGTGTTCCCAGAGACGACCTCTTCTTATTCCCTTATACGGGGCTTGGGTGGAGTCGAGTTATTAGCAACATTGTTTGGGTCTTGCCAATTGAAGGCAGAAAGTAGCACCCAGCATCCAGTATCCAAGCAGCCCGACTGCAGACGCTTGGCCTGTCAATAGCAGTTTGCTTAAATACCAGTGGGGAAAGGGGAAGGAAATTGAGGGGTTGGGAATGTTACTACCATCGGAGGGAGCTCAAGAAGAGGAAGATGATGAAGGATATGCGACTTATCTGGTTGTAACATGGCCAACGGGGCCAAAGCTGATGCTCAGCTAATAGTTTGGGCAGTAAACCAAGAGGGGGATTCCGGAGTTAGACAGATAGAGACAGAGTGAGGGGAATAGACACTGGAGGGAGACAGATAACATGTGCGTGTGTGTGTGTGTGTGTGCTAGAGATGAGAGAAATGCTCGCATTTCGTGACCAGAAGTTTGTGAACTTAGAGATTTGTGCTTACAGGATTTTCTTAGGCAAGAAAAACATATGAAACAAAGCATGAAAAATCAAGATGCAAATGCTAGATCTTGCATTTCTTGACTATTTTTTTGGAAAGAGTCCAACCTTCTATACCTCTAAGTCCCATCACATTTTCAAGCAGGAAATAACTGATTTTGAATATAAAATGAGGATATAATCTTCTATTTGTTACTCCCAATTGGAAAAAATTAAATCTGTTTTCCATTAAAGACAAAGTAAAATCACATCTTTAGCTGTTGTGAGTGACTGCCCCGAATCGCAGTGACTGAGTCACTGGGTGGCATCACCTCCTCTGGGATGCTGGTTGATATCTTCTCTTCCCCGATGCGACGACGTGCACAACATGTTTAATCTAATAAAGTCGCTAGCCAGTCACTGGTTAGCCTTGGCTTCACTTGGCTTTGGCTCTATAAAAATTGCCAGTAGCCAGGGAGAGCTCTGGGAGAGAGAGTGTCATAAAAAGACGTTAGCTGCGACGTAATAAGCGTATCAAGTGCCTCGAGATATATGTATACATATAAACATCCGAATACACATACATATATACTCGAATGTCTAAAGACAGACATATGGGTGTGTGGATCTCTGTGTGTCGATTTCTGGGGTGTACTACATAGAGAGGGGAGCTTAGTTTTTGGGCCAGACGCTGTGGCGTCCTCGTAGCTAAGTGATGGATAAATGCCGGATAAAAATTGCTCGTAACTACGACAACAACCTACATGTAACACTCCCCAGACCAGAGGGCGAATTCTCTTCCATATACTCGTACATGTTAGCGGGAAAACATGAAAATTTGATAAACGAAAAATTGCAAACAAGCCCCCCAAAAAATAGAGGGAGAACAGAACGAAAAGTTCAGGATTTACCTCCGCAGCAACAAAAACAAAACAAAATAAGTTTCAACCATAGAAAAAGTTGTGCCTGTGTGCCAGTGTATGTGTGTGCGTAATTCGCTAATTACCTAAATGGTTGCCACAAAAGGTGGCCAGAGGTGGAGTCATATTAAAAGTTTGGCCAAAACGAGTTACAAGGTTTCCAATTCGGGTTTTGCGTATGGGGATCAACTTTTTGTCGGCACTAAGCGTAAGCCGATAGAGTCGATTGAAGGACTTTATGGCACAGTTTTCTGGGGAAGGGCTCTCTGAAGCGAAATTGAAAAAAAAACATTTTCTAAATCTGCTTCCTGTCCCTCCTTCCCATTGCAGTGTTTGCCGCACAGCGTGACTCAAACAAATCGAAGGATATGAGCAGCAGTAATAATGCCATTCCGAATGGTGGAGCAGGAGCAGCTGGCGTGGGAGAGGCCTCCCAGTCGCCAGGAGGTCCCAGTGGTGTCGCCGGAAGCGGAAGCATGAGCAGCAATAGCAACAATGCCAACGGAAATAACAAAAATGGCCATGCAGCTGGAGGAGGAGCAGGCCTCTCACCAGCCTCCGAGTCCAGCTCAATGACAACCGATGCCAGCAGAGCGCCCAGCTCTAGCTCCAGCTCTGGATCTGGCTCAAGCTCTACCACCATCACTGGCATTCCTAGCAGTAGCTTGCACAAGGCCAGCAGCAGCAGCATCAACACAATTGCCTCACAATCGGGAGCCGCATCCGCATCCGGCATCCATCGCAACAGCATCGACCTGATGGAGGAGGCACGCAATGCGGGACCCTACTTCGACAAGGCCGTCTCCAAGAATGTCACCGCCCTGCTGGGCAAGACGGCCTATTTGAACTGCCGCGTCAAGAATCTGGGCAACAAAACGGTAAGCTCGAGAACCTCACTAAATGGTTGTCATTATAGCTATGAATGATATCAATTATTACTAGAATTTAGAGTGGAAATGTGTACCCTTATGAGTATATATTCATACGACTATTATAGTATGTAAGTGATCGGTAAATAATGTACATGGTATACCCCTCGTGCAGTATCTTTTGCATCAATCTGGTTATATTTGTCCATCCCCAAAAGATTTATTACTAGAGGAGAACTGATGTGGGAAGATACATCAGTTCCTGCTTGAATAGTTTGTATGCAGCGAATGAAATGCCTTCAAGAATAACCTTCATTCCGGTTACCGAATAAACCTTTGTTCTGAGCTTCTGTTTTTTCACCTGCGGTTTCCGCCATTATTTATCATTATTTTTGTTTAATTGCTTTTATTAATTTTTATCATTCGAATGTCATTACTTTTGTAGAAGCAAAAACATGCTTCGCTGGTAAAAATCGTGTACCATTATTTCAATGGTTAAATTTGGTGTTAAATTTGGAGATACCGATCTGTATCCACACATATGTAAGACTGTTTGAAGCTAGTTATTCCTTCATACCTCTAGCTTCCCTGCCGTATAAAAATCTACACATCTGTGCGATAGTACCTACTTTAAGTACCACTGTACTTGAAATTGTAAACCCATCTTCTCTTGGTTGTGTGTTGCCTGGCCGTATTTTTCAAGTGAAGTAATTTGTGGGCATGAGCTGACGGTTTTATATTGTAATTATCATGTAATTCCTTTGCCAGTGCCATCAAAATGCTATTTGTAAAGCAGGGTTTCCCTATGAGTATTCTCTTTTTTTTTTTTTTTTTCGGGGGGAGGCGACTAATTAGCACGTTGACTGCGCCCACATGCTGGCTAGGGCCGACAGGGGGTGCATGGTTGGTGGCTAATTGTTCCGCTCGCCAAAGAACAAAATGATTAATTATACCCAAACAGGAAACAGATTTTACTTTATTCAACTTTCGTCGTGTGCGGAAGGAAATGCCGCAAACATTTCACAAACACACAATCTCTCCAGGACCCACCGCAACACCGCAGAACTTCCGGCCACGGGGCTTCATCCACCTGGGCCGTCGCTGCAGAAGGAAAAACTATTCAAATGAGGGGAAAAGCCCACGAAAATGCTTTCGTTTTGTTTTGGGTTTCTCCGTTTTGGGTGGAGCTGGGCCGTGGCCGTAGTCATTCGGCTTCGGTCACTTCCGGCGGCGTCGGCCTGAGCCGGAGCAGGTCTCTGCCCGTTTTTCCGATAATAATATGTTACTTGTCCCGCCGGGACATGCCAGGACATGCCAGGACCTGCTATTCTCTGTGCTCCGAGCGCTGGCAGGCAGTGATTAGCTTTGGGTTTCGGCCGGTTTGAGTTTGCGGTTTCGAAAACTAATTTGCGTGATTATTAAATTGTAGAAAACGGGGAAAGGGCGTAGGAAACCCTTGGTTTCTACTGCAGGCAGGCAGAAAGAGGACAGGACTTTCCACCTTGAGGTAGGACAATGTAAAACTTTTCGCATGAGGATGTGCGGGCAGATAACTTCATTAGATGTGTTAAATGGGATAACTTCATCGATCTCTCGCTCTCCATTCAACCCAATGGAAGGGTTAATTGATAGAAAATTTTTTAAATTGTTCAGAGTTCGCCAGGACTTTACACATATTCAGATTCATGACAGGAGGTTTGAGGTGGAAAGGAGTGATAGGAAGGCAGCCAGAATCAAAGGAGAGAGATCAAGGAGTTTTATAGTTTATGCGATTTTCTTGGTCTTACATTCTTCTCCCTACTTTTCTGCCTTTATCCTTAAATTCTAATATACCTTTCTAAATACTATACGTTTTTACCCAGTAAAAACATGAAAATTATATCCGGCAGACAGCTTACCAAAATATTCATTCCATTCTCCGCCCTCAGCGCTTAACTGCAAAAAAAAAGATATAAAGTAACCTGTAAAATGAAATACATTCATTTGCTTGGGTTGGCAGCTTAAAATCTAATTAGCTTTCTGTGCTGCGGCGAGCCACAGCCGAGCCACAACCCCAATGTCCCACCCAATGCCCCACCCACTTCCGTAATTTTCCTGTGTCTCCCCATTCCCTTCTAACCTCACAGTCATCCCCACCTGGAGTAATACATCATTGCTGCTGAGATTTGGCAGCACCTGAGTGAGCGTTAAGCTGGTCTGGGAGGAGCCGAGGAGCAGAGAAATGCGAGCGAAGAAAAAGAAAAAAAGGAAAATCCCTCTGTCTTACGATTACGCTTGTGTGTGTGTGTGTGTGTGTGTGTGTGTGTTTGTGGGTGTGCTTTCCTTCACACCGTCCATAATGATAAACAGCGAACGGATGCTGATGGTCTCTACATTATTAATGACGTTTTTCATTTGCGCTTCGCTCAGGAGAGAGGTTTATGTTTGGTAGAGCTACACCTCGAAAATTTCAGAATTTTCTTTATGATTCTAAAGGAAACAAGCGAGAGATTTTAAAGGAGATGTCGATGGAGCTTTACAGCATCAGGGCTCTCATCAGTTTTATCATGCAATGTTAATACGTGGCTCGAAAAACGATTCTGAATTGAATCTACTTTTTAGGATAATGTCAAAGTATAGCTATTTGGTATATAAATTAACTTCTTCTGCAGATAAATATGTACTCCTTTCGAATGATGCCATTCTTCTGTTAGTTCATTTTCCTTCTATTTTCATTAGTTTTCTCTAGATTGAAATCCCTCTAAATTGTATTACTTTTTACTTCCAAGCCTTTGGCCTGGCTGTGTTTTGCCATAATATATGTCCCTTTTCTCGCCTGCCAAATTGAGCTGTAAAAAAAGAAATCTTTTCAGATTTTGATGTTTGTTTTTGCAAGCCAAAAAAAAAAAATAAATAAAAAATATGGAAATATATTGATATGGCAGACAATTTTACGATACTGTAAACAAGCTTAATGGCCATAAAAAGTGGGAAATGGTATGAATGGGGGGACTAAAGGGAAAATGTTTGCGGTTGGTTTTTCAAGATGGAGGCTGTCTTCCTGGGGCTTCCTCCTTCTTATGCTTTATACTTTGGGACTTTTGGTGTTAATTACATGGAACTTTTGCTTAAGCAGCTGCCAAAGTTTACCTTTGTGTCTGCTAACTAACACCTGGTCCTAGGCCCCCGCCTTAGCCCCCCTAAGCCATCGCTCATCCTGCACCCTTCGGCCCGCCGTCTGGTACGCCGCTGTGTTTCTTGTCCATTAACTTTGCCAAAGTCGTAGTCGTCGTGCTCGTCGCCGTCGTCGTCGTCGTCGTTCATCGTTAGGCAGGATGTTACTAAGCTGTTGTCATTGAAATTGAAAATGCTCACAGCTGACGTATGACACGCAACACAGTCGGCACAGGACACGGCGTCCTCCAGCACTCCTACCACTCCCGCATGCACTCCCACCAGTCCTTTCAGCACCAATGCTTGAAGGCCTGCCAGGACCTCAGGCAACCCCTAAATCAGCGTCACTTAAAAATGTTTCGCCCCCTTCTCGGGCTGTGGCCGGGGCAAGGAAAAGTTGAGCATTAAACAGCAGGTGGTTGCCGAATACATACAGACATGCAAAATACATACATATATGAGTGTATTCCTGAGTCTGAGTCGTATTCCAGCTTCAATTTGTCGGCCTGATGAGGGTGAGCTGCCTAAGACGCCCCTCCCTCCACACTCTCATGTCAAAGTTTTTTTTTCCTTTTGCCAAACAACAACACGAGGCATAAAGAAAAATTGGGTAAAAAATCATATAAAATATTTCGAAATAAATTTGCATTTTACACGTGTGTCTGACACAAAAGGCTGCTGCCTCTGACGCATCCCCTGGAAACCCCTTGGACTCCAGTGGTTGCGTATGAAATTGACTTTTTAAACTGTTTGTGCCCCAGAATCTCGGTTCTCAACAAATGAAATGCTATTCCCTTTCTATCCGTCGCCTCTGTGTAGATGCTGCTTCAGGTGTCTTGGGTGCGACATCGGGACATACACTTGCTGACAGTGGGCCGGTACACGTACACGTCGGATCAGCGCTTTCGGGCCATACACCAGCCGCAAACCGAAGACTGGATGCTACAAATCAAATATCCGCAGCATCGTGATTCTGGCATCTACGAGTGCCAGGTATCAACCACACCGCACATGAGTCACTACATTCACCTGAATGTTGTTGGTAAGTTTTTTTCAGTGTAAAAAAAAAATGAAAGATCTGAAGGGAGAGCATAAGTGGTCATTGTTATATGTACATATCTCTTCTCAGCCAAAACCTCTCAATTATTTCACAAATCAAATAAATTAATATTTGCACTCGTATAAATTACGATAAAGTATCCATAGAAGCAGCTTCAAGAAATCTCAAGACGGAACTCAAGGCGAATTTAATTTATAACCTTCCACAGAGGAGGGGTTTCCGCTCTCCTCTGGAACTTTTCCCATTTAATTATCGTTGAGTTAAATAACAGTTGAAATAAGTGTAAAAGCAAAATATTTCCATTTCCATTTCGTTTTGCTGGCACTTCAATTGCTTCATTTCAAAGGATGGAAATCATTTCACCCTCACAATATGAGGAAAAACGGGGAGCTGAGAGAGAGAAGCATATTTCAATGAGGGTAAGCGAGAATCCTTTGAAATTCTCACACCTCTCTCTCGGTTCAAGTGCCCACCAAAAGGAAATTCCTTCCCAGCTAATTGTTATTTTACTCCACAGCTAGTACATTCGAAATGGAAATGCGCTTTGTTTAATTATTTTTACTGATTTATTCTACCTTTGGTTTTCACAATTTCACATTTTCTCGTATTTTTCTTTCAGAACCCTCGACGGAAATAATCGGCGCCCCCGACCTGTATATAGAGAGTGGATCGACTATAAATCTCACCTGTGTCATACTCAACTCACCGGAGCCGCCGGCTTATATCTTCTGGAATCACAATAATGCAGTGAGTTGAAGTCCTTTACCTTTGCCTCCATTTTTCGGGGAGGACATGCAATTACTTTGGGGTATCATTATCGCTTCCCCTTTGGCCCGAGACCGAGCCCTGCCCAGGGAAAGTCTGACAGAGAACCCTTTAGTGTTCAATTTAGTAACTTTTAAATTAGCTTTGCCGGGCCAAAACTTTCCTTTCGCTCTTTTTTTTTTTTTATTTTTTTATTAGGTAATGCCATTTAGGAAGGGAACCAGACGGACAAATGGACGAGTGGACGGGTGGACGGGGGCTTGAAAAGGGTTTTTGGTTTGGGTTTTAAATGGATTTTGGTTTTGTTCCGTCTCTGAGCCACGTTTTAGTTTTCCACTTTAGGTGTGTTTTCCTCACACTTCATGCCTGGGCTTTTGGCTTATTGTATTGGGAATTCGCAGTAGGGCCCCAGAGAGGGGAGAGGGTGAAATAGGGGCTGTGCTCTAAGGGTTGACGGTCGTCGCCATTGTTATGCCTTTTCTATAGAGCGAGCTGACGACGAAGAAAGGGAAAAATATTGCCATTAGTGCCGGAGATTTTTCTCTCTCTCTTTTTCTACTTTCTTTGTGCCCCAAAACAGATTTAATTTTATTGTTTTGTTTCGGTTTTATTTGCAATCATTCTTCCCTTACTTTGCATATTTCCTGCTCCTCTTTCTTATCTTCTCTCCCGTCTCCACTCTATTTTATTTATTTTAATTTGCCAAGTGTGCAACAGTGCGTATGCGTAATCTTGATTCTGTTTTATGGCTTAGAAAATGTTTATAGCGCAGAAAAACGAATCCAAGTTTTTTCCCCAAGCAAATTTGTGGAATATCTTTTATGACTTTTGCTAATTTGTCGCTGGATTTCCATTCTCATCCGCAGATTATCAACTACGATTCGCCGCGCGGCGGCGTTTCGGTGGTGACCAATAAGGGCGAGACGACCACATCATTTCTCTTGATTAAATCGGCGCGTCCGTCGGACTCGGGGCATTATCAGTGTAATCCATCAAATGCAAAGCCCCGCAGCGTCACGGTACATGTGCTCAATGGTAAGTAAAATAAACGACAACAAAACCACCACCCAAGAGAAATAGGACCACCCATACACAGGATCCGAATAAAACAATGGTGGACGAAAGGGATAAGCCCAGAATTTGAAAATGCACAAAAATGTGAATGAGACAATGAGAATGGTAATGGGTTACACCATAGCTATTGGCCTGACCCGGGGTAGACAATACGAGTAATGGGAAGGCAACAGATAGTCGTAGGGAGACGAAACTGAACTGCAAAAGAAAGAGTGAAAGAGGGATTAGAGGGATAAAATGGTGTATAATAAACTTATCAAAGGTACTCAAAGCTCATTTCTGCACCAAGGAATAAAGGATAACTTTGAACGAAAGTTGCTTCTAATCATCGTAGGTAACAATTAGGTGATGGTCTAGTGGATAGGGATTATATATGTACATACGCAATCAATAATTTGTGCATTAAATCAACTGTCAAATATTCAATTCTAGTATCAGGGATCGTTAGGATTATGAATTGTATAATACAAATTATGAAATAAATTTATCGACTTATTCTAACAGGTACTGCATTTAAGTTTCGTTTTAATTTGTATCAGCACTTAAACATCGGAAACCGATTTACAGTTGGGGTGTTTTCCTTTATTGTTGCATCATTAAACTCATCATAAATCAACCAAAAGCGTTTCACTTAAACTTTTCCCATTAATATTGATATGCTCACAATTTCATTGTAACTTTACTTTGCAACTTTCAATTATTTTGTACATCGTAAAGCTGCCAGGCTTTCCATTAGAAATTGAAACATTTACTGAGTTTATTTAAAGTATTATGTTGTAGCTCATTGTAGCTACAATACATTTTTGGGGTTAAGTACTTCAAGTTACTTTACTTTGGGGTTAAGTACCATAAGCCACTATCGCCTTTGGCGAAAACTATTATAAACTGACTTTTATGAAGTGTGATTTTGTAACAAAGAATACTTCAAGGCTTTTGTGTTTAAAAGATAATCTGAAGCAGTGCTGGAGAGGCATTTAAGTTTATTTAGGAGAGCTTCAAAGGATGGAGTGAGGCTGCAGATGAGTAACAGTTACCTTAGGACATAATGTTAGTTACGTGTATTTTGAAACCATTTAAATATATGTAGATACGAAGAAGAACATCCTATGAACATCACTCAATGCACACCTGTAATAGTGGGTTAAATAATCAACAAAGAAATGCATACGAAAGTAAGAACTACTTAGCTATTCCCACACTACCAACTAGAGACTGAAAGATGCCAGAGGATTTGTGTCTAAGACCTAGAAAATAGATCGCAATCCCCTTAGAACAGGCTAATGCTTTCGCCCGAGCCTGAGTCAGCATATCAATGGTGGAAATCTGCCCAAAGGCAGCCATAGAAATTGCAGCTGTTGAAGCTCCACGGGGCACCCCGAGAACTGACACAAAAGCAGGAGAACCAGGCCAGAAGAAAAACACGAGAGAAAATAGACAAGAGATAGGGGAAAGCTGAAGAGTAAGTAAGCACGAAAGAGGTGACAATAACTAGCCAACAAAGTGTTGTTTAAAGTGAAAGACAGACTAAGTGAAAACACCAACAAAGGCAGCTAAGAGAGCGTGTTTTGGCCACCCCCAAGGAGGAATCGATTGGCAACCAATGAACAAATATTGATTAGTGGATAGCACAGCCAAGTATTCGGATGGGGATGCTGCCGGGGTGTCTATTTCAATATTTCCACGAATATTCAACGAAAACCAGATGAGCTCAGCTAAGTGAAAACTGCTAAAAGTGGCACGTGGAAATTATACGGAATGGAAAGACAGCTTCCCGCTGTCGCCCACCCGTTTCCCTATCCAGCGGTGTAATGATTATGCGCCCCGACCCCTTCATTTTTTTTTTGTATACCCATCTTCCCTCTCTACAGGAAACCACTCCGCCTGCCATCATCATTTGCAGAACAAACGTAGCCATGGGGGCTAAAGTTTTGGGATGCGGAAGCTACACTCTTCTCTGTAAAGTATGCGAACTTTGTCGTGTAACTCGATATGAGATTGGGGTAGTCATAGTGTTGAAAAGGGATAAGTTATCCATAAGGTTATTTTTATACAACAATAATATTGACGTAGCGTAGGAGAGTGTGGAAACAATTGGGTAATAGGTTCAATCATATTTGCATCTTTGACACTCGTACTTTATTCAATATTCTATTCTTTAGTAAACGCGTAAGTATTTCATAATAAATCCTTACAACAATCACCAATTGACTAAAAAAAATGCAAGCTTAGGGGAGAGCACTCTTCCCCCCTTACTTTCTATCCCTTTCTTCAAAACTTTGTGTAACTTTTTGAAAAATAAAAAAATTTAAATCTGCTTCTTTGCAGCCAAAACAAACAAAAAGAGTATTTAAATTTACTCAACTCCCGGGCCAAACTTTTGGGGTCCTGGCCCCCACATGCAGTACGAGTATCTGGCACGCGTGCCACATGAAAATTATGTTTATGTTACACTCTCCCCCGGTGCCCCACCCGTCCCTTGGTGACTGTCTAGGACGAGAGCACAGTTTGGCTCACTTCCACTTCCTGTGCGACTTTCACTAATGTCAAGTTGTCGTCGTTGTCGCAGCAACCGTGTCTGCTAGATAATGTCACACGGTGTTGTCTTTTGCTCGGAAAAGACGCCAAAGCACACTACCAAACACCCACACACACACACATGTATGAGCACGAGAGGGGTACTCATCCCTGGCGCCATATTGTGCATGCAATGCGCGTTGTTTCCGTTAACTGCTTTGGCACACTTGTTTCTGATTATTATTATGTTTTGTATCTTGTTCAGTCCTGTTCTGTTCAGATCTCTGATGTTCTGGTAGTAGTCCTGTTCTGTCGCTCTGCTACTTTCGCCATTGTTCTTTGTCGCTACAGTTTGTTTTGTTTGTTAGTATTATTATTATTATTATTATAAGGCCGTCAGCATTGTTGTTGGCTGTTAGTATTTGTATATTCTTGCAAAAGGAGGGTATTATGATTTTGCACAGATGTTTGCAACACATCTGTGACCTCAAAAGTCATGAATGCTTTTAATTGTTAATTTTATAGCGTTGCAAATGGTAGCTTTATCTTAAGCAATATACAATTTAATATAAATACATATATGACAAAAAATAATAATATTTTATATGGTTTTGCCAGGGTATGTAAAGTTTCGGTTCTTTGTGGAGTTTTTGTTTTTGTCATCGTGTTGCAATGCAAAACTTTTTCACTGGCTCTTCTCCTATGGAGCTCCTCCTTGTGCTACTGGAGCTTCCCATTTCTTTCTGCTTCACTTTTAGCATTACTTTGCTTTTTATTGTTTATTGTTACCTGTTTTCCTCCCTCCCCCACGCGAACAGAGGGAGAAAGTGAGAGCGAAAGGGAGACATGGGGACAATACGAAGCCCGGGAATTGTGTTTTTGTTTGGCTTGCCGCATCAGCATCGACATCGACATCACCATCAATGGGGTCAGGAGCTTTGTCGGGTTCACTTTCAGTTGGGACCCCAAAGGATAGTGGTCTTAAAGTGCCAGCCGAGACTTTCATTTCCATCCCAGACAGCTGCAATGTACCCCCAAAAAGGTCCTGTTGACTTTTAACGAGCTCTAATGGATGCGAAATGTGTCAGAAGGTTTATGGAAAGATAATTTCCATACCTTTTGGAATTTAAAACCACAGCCATCAAAAATTAGTCGCTAAAATGATAAATATTGGACTTATAAAAAATATTTCTAAAATTAAATCAAGTATTTCTGAATTTGAGCGCTCTTCAGGAGAGCTCTAAATGGGATTATGTATTTGCAAGATAGAGGTGGTTGTGCATTATTTTTGCAAAAGCAAGTCGAAGCCTGGTAAGCCTTGTTTACGTTACTTTGCACCGCAGCGGAGTCGCCTTTCAACACCTGTGTATGAGGGCTCACCCTTCCCCAGCCATCCACCATGACCCCCAGCTGCAGTTGTCTCTCCCTGGCTTTTGCTGTTGATAAGTTGTAAACAGTCAATGGTTTCAGTGACAGAAGTTGTTCGTTGGCTGTAACGGGAGAATCCTGTTTGTTAGTTTTGTTTGTGGGCTTGTTGTGCTGTCGTTCTGGTGTTCTGGTGTTTTGGCTTGTGCAACTTATTGTATGACAATCTTGGCATTGTTTTCTGTTTTTTGTTTTCGGTTTATCTGTGCAGTTTGATTGTTTGACAGCTTTTTGGGGTCGCCCCGCTCTCTGTTGGAGCTGGTAATCCGGTTAGTGTTGGAGGGGATTATACATATATGGTATACATACGAATGCGATGTTAATTCGCTTTACGTTTTAATGAAAATTCCACGTTTACAAGGACACCTACTCTGTACTCTATACATACTTATACCTGCACACAATTTTCGTTTCTTAATCGCTTTCAGTTTCGCCCAATGTCTGAGTATGAGAGCAGCAATAAAGATGTAAATTAAACAGGTGTTTCTCATTCCGTTTCCAGGGGAGTTCCCAGCAGCAATGCAGCACGCGGCACCAGCGCATCCTCGCCACTCGCTCACTCGCTATCTCTGTGTGTACCTGTGTGTGTGCTTCTGCACCTGGGCGCTTGTCGGACGCTCCACACGCTCCTCGCTTCGGCAGCTCGTGTCGCCTCCGCCTACCGTCGGCCGAAGCGTGTCCCAGCCGGCAGTGTGTCCGTTTGTGGGATTGGTGGCATGCGACAGCTCCTCGAGTGCATTCTGAGTCTCTGCTGCTGCTGCTGCTGTTGCTGCTGGCATTGGCAGGGCCGGAGACCATGGTGCTGGTGGCAACCGCAAGAGGAGCAGCTCCTGCCACAACATGAACTTCAATCAAGGAAGATGGCACTGGAGACGGACACGTTAAGGCAGGTCTTTGAGGCGGACATAAGGTGAGCGATCCCTAGACCCGCTCCACGCTAAACCAACAGCTCTACACCCTAGACACACTGTAACTATAATAACTATAACGTATCTTATATGAATATACATAAATCTAGTGGCTATTGGGTTTTTCTATGAATCAGCGACGTATACGTAATATTTAGCACAAAATATGAATGATAATACGAAAATCAAGCCAAGTTGTCGCCTTTTTTTCTATGTACGACTTTGTATCATACAATGAAGCTGTCTACGTTTTCGGTTAACTAAACCTTTGATTGGAAATTGTGTATATAGGCTGCATAGCATACCTAGAGTCGCTTTTTCAATTGACTATGATACTCTCCTTTCCACAACTATGAAACTTTTATAGAACAATACCAGACAAAAAACAGAAAAAGAAAAGAAACCCCAAAAAGAAAAACGATTTTCCCCACTGTAAACGCTTCTCGACTGCCATTTTGTGACTGTTTCCTTCGAAGGCAAGGCGAAAACTCTCATTTGCATTTGGTCAAGTCCTAATAGACAGATAAATGTTCAAAAAAGGAAAAAATATAAAAAGATTCAACTTCAAATACAGCATAAACCAAAAGGAAAAAAAAATAAAATAAACACTAGCAATACACGTGGCAAAAACTGTAAAATATAAAAGGAAATTCGAACCTAGAGGGAGGGAAATTTAGCTACAAGTTAATGCGAAACGAGAGAAGGAGAGTGTTTGTTCTTTTGGCTGGTAATGCATCTGAATGGTTAGAGACTAAGTCATGAAATACATAAAGAGTAACCCTCGAATAAGTTTTTTTCAGTTGTGTTTTGTGTAATGTAAAAATTTAATAAACATAATTAAGTACGAGTATTAACCAAAGTGCAGAGGAGAAGACACGTAAGACAGGAACGGTTTGAGTATAGGATACAATCGGCATAGATGGAAATTTGTTGCACATTTCATAAATTTATTTGTTGTTAATAAATGCGAAAATTAGACAAGTGTTAAATAAAACCATCTAAAACAGAAAGGGACAATGTTTAAATATATACACAAAAAAATGCTATGAGTAAAAGGTATTTTAAAGCTAACTTCTAAAGGGAATTTCCTTTAATTTGTTCGAGTGTTTTCACTTTTCAATGGTTTGTTTTCCTTTCATCTTCTTATTTTTTGTGTATTTCTAAAATTCTGCGCTTTTGTCTGTCTAGTTTCTATCATTCCACGAATCTTTGCCATCGAGCACACATAAAACTAATCAAAAATCAAATAGACGTAAACGAAATAAAATCCATTTCAGTGTTAAGCGAATGCAAGGCACATTAACAAAGAGTTACAGATATAAAAAAAACTAAAAACTATTGATAGAAATTAAAGTGAAAAACAAAAGAAAAAAGGAAAAGTTTCATTAATCAAGCTAAGCAGTAAATAAAATAAAACAGAAAACAGAAAGCTATTGAAATCCAGCAGGAGTAATCAGAGGCATCCAATCGAAAAATCCGAAACCAAAACCAAAACCCAGCCCGACATATGTATTTTCCATAAGCTTTTTTCCAATTACCATGTAAAATATCGACATTGCAAATACACATTCAATATCTATTCAGATGAAATTTCAAGCGAGAAAATTCTGTATACATAAAAACGAATTCAAATTAGAATTCCCATTGTGTTTGATGAGGCGTTTTATGGCCATTCGATATTTATTGCAAAAATTCTGTCAAACAGTTGATTATCAAGCATCAAACACACGCCCATCCCATGCGGAATATCTAAGGTGTTTTCTCCATCACTCTGGTCTTTCTCTCTGGGAAATTCCCATTTGCCTCAAGCATTTGGAAAAGTGACAAATTCTTAAGATACTTAAATTCTAAGCAAACAAAAAATAAGGAAAAACATTTAACGAAAATAGAAAAAAAAACAGATAACTAATAGAACGCATAAAACTGAAGTAATATTGTATATGTAAATGTGTATTTATAAAACTATTATATAAAAAATTATATACATATATATATACATAAATATATATATATATATATATAAATTAAAGAAAAATAGATTATTTAACACACGGAAGAAGGAAAAAAAAACTCGAATTAACAATGTTATTAAAGCTAAACAAAAGTAAAATTTGAAAGTAACTTTCAATTAAATATGAGCAAATACGATAAACCGAAAAACGAAAACGACAGAAACCTAAAATGAAATCTTTTAAAAGTGTAAGAATTTAAAATGTGCAAAAACAAAGAATCGAAAGGAAGGAAAAAAAAACTGAAAAAAAATAAAACTAAAAGAAAACTAAAGCATATTATGTCAACTGTTAATTGAGTTGTTTTACTGGTTAGAGTGGGAAAATGGGGAAAACAAAAAGGTAATAAATTACGGGTAAGTAAAAGTAAGACTGAAAGTGAAGCGAATCCTGGCTGGCCAGCAGCTAAATGCTTGGAAAACAAAGGCAGGAACCATTTTTCATGCCTGGACAAAGGACCAAACACACTACACAGTAAGTGAGTGAGAAGGAGAGAGCGAGAGAGCTGCCTAGAAGATGTAACATAAACGATAACATAATGAAATGAGATTAATCATACGACGTGTATGCCTGCCCACTGGGAGGCATAATGAATGCCAATCCTTGCAGCACATTACACACACACTTACTTGACTAACATGATGTAGATTTCCCTGTGTATACGTAGACCTCTGTTCTGCGATAACTCTATCCTGCTATGCTGTTTTGCCCATTACGATACTTTTGGCGGCCTTACGTTGCCGTTTTCATTTTTTAATATATATTAGCACATAGTCAAACAGTTGAGCGCACGCTGATGGAAAATCAATACATAAGGCCTCCAATCTACCGCCAAACCGTCCTCCCTCTCAGCAATCAGCCCCCAGTCAGTTCTAGTGGACACTGGAAGGTACATATATTTTATTGACGAAAAGTTTTAAGTTGAATGCAAGGAAGAGAAATGAAGGAGGGTTGCACGGATATTCAGTGCGATATTCCATGGTGATATTGGGCCGGGGACAGTGGGTCGGTCGGACTTTATGCAAAACCACTCAAGGACAAGTGGGCAATAAGCGAAAAACTTTTATTGTTTTATGTTGGCGAAAGTTTTCGTGCTGCTGCTGCTGTCGTGTCGAGTACAAGCGGCATCATAATGTTTCATATATTATGTCCAGGCTATATAATTCCCTCTCCTTTATGCATGAGTTTTCCCCCCCTGCTCGACCTGCTCTCAACCTGCTCTCTATACATTTCCATGTGTAATTTGGCACTCTCGAGTGCTGCAGCAGCAAATTGCAATTGGATGGCGGAATGGAATGAGATAGTTTTGGGTTGCTCTGCGTACATATGTACATATATGGTTCGTTTGGGATGGCTGTGAGGAGGGTAAGTAGATGGGGGAGTACATATAATGCGCCAGTTCTATGGTACTCTAGGTGTTAATAGGCTGTTTATGGCTGTTGCGCAATGTGTGACCTATACGCTAGTCGCAACAACTAAATGTGGTCTCTAAATGGGATGGATGTGGTGTAGTGTGGTGTGAGTGTACGGTTTGAAGCTAATTTACTTTAGCAGCTCAAACAATTAATCGTGGCATCAATCAAACCGTTTTCCGACAATTCAATTGACAGCAGGCAGCAGCTTTAGAGGAGTAATCAGTCAATGATGGAGTGGGAATGTAGGAAATGCCATTCAAGGATGGTTAGAATAGATCATATTACTGAAACTCCACGTAGATAGAATGGCATTTGAATGGATCTGAACGGATCTAATGATAATAAAAATGATGGATCAATGTTATATCAGATAATGTGACCATTACAAGTCTATATTTTTGAATAAAAAAAGAGGAAGATGGAAAATTTAGGGACAAAATGAAACACCACATTCATGGAAATGCGGTTGTAGTTTGATTACCGTAAGTAAATGGAAAGGGACATTCCAAGGAGATCATAGAAATCACTCACATAGCTTAAAATTTATGTATTTGATGCCAAGGTGACGTAACCATATCCATTTTATATACAGCGGCTCCCCATAGTTCACCCACAAAATCCATATGCAAATATCAGCCAACTAAAAGCGTCAAGAGTGTGGGTCCTCACTGAAAGGCCCCGTCATCAGTCAGTCGGTCAATTGGTCCCAGCCCCAGCCCCAAAAAAACAGCTGCCACACAGGGGATGTGTGTAAACTCTTGTTGTTCCCTGCCGATGGGTGTTGCCTTCTGCCGATGCTGCTGCAGTTTATGGCCGTAATACATTTTGGGACCACTCTCGCTTTTTCTCTATCTCTCTCTCGCTCTGAGTGTGTTCGTTTCTCTTTAGTATACTCAGTTCTTTGCGGCTTTTTTGGCCGAAAAGTTATTGAATTGTTACAGCAGCCACTTGTGATAAATCAGTGACAAGGAGACCGGGAAACCCGTGCGTTAATAAATAGAGCAAGGACGAGTCGGTCGTGTGTTTTCTTTAATTTGCCATAAATATATATGTGCAAACGAGAATTTATTATAAAAGCCATCACTCAGCATATTGATTCAGGCCAGGCCATTGCTTAATTAAGGCCAAACTGGTGGCTTCTCCCACTCCGATTACCATCTACCAAGTCCGGCAAAACACAATCCACCCTCACCCGAAAAATATTTTATTAGATTTTTCGCCCAGCTGAGCAGTCCAAAGATAATCAGCATTGAAAAAGAGTGCATATACATATATGTACATATGTATGTTTGTATATATAAGAGGAGGAAACTTTGGACTATGCTGGGGGTCCTATTGCAGCATGAAAACTGCAACGTTCAACTCTATTGGTTTAAGTGCCGCTCTGTGTGTGCGGATCGTATGGGTATTCATATGTATGTATGGTTGAACAAATACAAAAGGCTTGCTCAGTTGCTTACGTGTGTACCGACATTTATTACCGCCCATAATCCGCAAAGTCTTATGCGTGTCTGTTCGAAAACCCCTCCCCCGATTCTCCTGCCATCCCGCATATGTGCAGTACCCACAAATGGAACTATAATTAAATTAAAACTTTTGCTAGAACTCGGAGTCAGGCCAGAGAAAAAAGGGTAGCCAACAGCCAGAGAGAAATTTCTTCCCATATTAAAATGAAATTATAGAGCAGGAAGAAAAAGAAAAACACACACACACACACACAACACAATGAACGGAATACGCTCGGTTTGCTTTGGTATTCGCAGCGGAGCGGTCGTTGGCCCTCACGTCGTATACTTAATACGGTAAGCTGTTTTTTCGGATTAGCCGCAATGCGGCTTAAGTGGATAGCAATGCGAGGGTGGTTGAGGTTCGTTTGTGGCGAAAAGAAGGGTCAGGAAAATCTATTGACCTGTATGACTTCTAGCGAACTAGATTTTGGCTTGGGTAACCTCTTCGGAGTGAAAGAAATACATGTTTTCTAGCTATCCTAAAAGATTTACATTTTTAACTACGAGTATACTATGATCATATCTGCAACTAAAATATAAAACATTTGACAACATTTAAAATATGTGCTTTTGAGAATTGAAGCATACTATAAACCTTTCAAAGTGTTTGCACGTTTTTCAATAACAAATATTTCTTTAATTCATTTTTTGATTGCTTTTGCTGACTCACTCAGGTCTTCTTTTAATCACAACTACGAATGTCTTTCAGTCTTCAGTCTGTCTTTCATACTTTTTTTTTAATAACTCTACCTCTTACTGCAAATTAATTTCCAGTTGAAAATCCACAAACAGTAATTTTACAAGCACTTAGCTCTAGCCATCGAGCAGCAGCAGCTGGTGCTGCATCTCCTTTTGGTTGGGTCCTGGGGCAAAGCGGATCGGATTATTGCAACCAACAACAAAATGGCCAAGAGAGGAATAAAGCGGTCTCAACTTGACCAGCACTTGGGCCTTCTCCTGGGCTCCTCTTGTGTGGCCTAGTCCAAATGCAATCGTTTCGTTAGTTCTTTTCTGTTCGTTTTTTTTTTGGGAATGAAAAGTTTTAGCCTCTTCAGGGGTGGAGCCGGATGTAGTCCTGTAGGCGGGGCAGGACTAGCTGTACCATACTAAAGTAAAAAGTTGTAGTTGAGCAGGGAACCCACATTTTGTTGCCAAACA